CACTATAAAATGTGTGATATCAGTACAACTTATCTTTTTAAAAAAAGCAAAAAAAGGCACTGAGCATACGAGTTTCTCGAATAAAACCTAAGTATTCAAGCCAATTATTATAGTAGTTTTAATTTTTTTTCAAGGATATTCTTATTGAAGGTCTTCTTATTCCAAATACAAGTAATGTCTTTAATTCTCTGTCTAAAATTATTACTCTTAAAAAAAAATTAATGTATCAAATGAAAAATTAAAATCCGTATGCTACAATATTAACCAATAAAGTTAAATCCTAGATACCTAATTAAAAAATGAAACACAAATAGTACTATCTTGTATTTACTTAATTCTAATGATATAAATCATTTGTATAAAAGATTTGTGTAAAAGATTTGATATCAACAAAATTAGCGCCAAGTTAAATTTCATGTAATTCGGATACTAAATTAAATAAATAATAAATATTAACTTTAATGATATGTATCATTCCTATAAAAGATTTGATATCAAGAACTGGCAAGTTAAATCCTACTTCTTTATACTAAGTTAAATAAATAATGAATATTAATCTAATAATATATATCATTTGTACAAAATACTTGATATCAACAACAGTGGCGCCAAATTCTATCAAAATAAAAAGTAAAACTCAAGTGATACTACGAGAGCAAGTCAATAAGTTCTTAGAAAATCTGTCAGAGGGCACTTGCAGTGTCATGTCACATTATTTTTTGTCAAGTAGTATCTTTCAACTGATTACTGTCAAATTTTGAGCGGAATTCATCGCGTGGTTTCCTTTTTGTAGACGATTAAAGCGAACAATCTTTGTATTTTTTGCAAAATGAAAAAAACGAGTGCAGTGATCAAACATCTACATATAAAAAGCTTAACGCCGAAAGAAATCAAAGTCGAGTTGGATAATGTTCATAGCACATCTGCACCAGCGTTTGTTACTGTATACAATTGAGTGAATGAATTTAAACGTGGTTGTACATCCACATGTGATGCACCTCCTTCGAGACATCCAATTAAGGCTGCTACGCCAGAAATCGTCGATAAAATCCACAATATTGTTTTGACTGATGAAATCGACAAATGAAAATGCGCGAGCTTGTTGAGGCCACATATCACATGGCACAGTGATTTCAATTTTGCACGAACAATTAGGTATGAGAAAGCTATCGGCAAGATGGATACCGTGTTTGCTCACTGTGGATCATAAGCGCAACCATGTGATGATTTTAAAACAATATTTGGAGATGTTTCAACGTAATCCAGATGAATTCTAATCCATATGAATGAATCGATTCGTTACTGTGGACGAAACATGGATCCATTACTTCACACCCGAGACAAAGGAACAGTCAAAACAATGGACTTCACCGGGTGAACCAGCTCCGAAGAAGGCGAAGACTGTCAAGTCGGCCTGAAAGATGATGGCCACAGTTTTTGGGATGCCCACGGTATAATTTATATCGATTACCTTCCGTTGAAGCAAACGATCAATGGCTATTACTACGCAGCCTTATTGGACCATTTCAACAACATTTTAAAGAAAAAACCTCCACACTTGGCGAAGAAGAAAGTGCTCTTCCATCAAGACAATGCACGGGTTCACACGTGCCCAATGGCTAAATTTAACGAATCCTGCTACGAATTGCTTCCCGATCCACCATATTCGCCAGATTTAACCCTCTGCGACTATTTCCTGTTTCCAAACTTGAAGAAATGGTTCGGAGGAAAGAGATTCACCACCAGAGAGCAGCTCATCGCCAAAACAGACACTTTTTTTGAAGGGTTGGATAAATCATATTATTCGGAAAAGGCTTGAAAAAGTTGAAGAATCGTTGGATCAAGTATATCGAGCTGAAAGGAGACTGAGAGACTGTTGAGAAATAAAAATAAATTGTTAAAAAAAAATGTGTTTTGCTATATTTTTCTAAAAATGTATTGACTTGCTCTCATATATTAATTTTGTATTTGCTTGAAGATAGCTAAAACCGATAGTCGAAACGTTCAAACTAACATCTTTTAATACACACTATATTATTACTCGTAATAATTATATAAGTGTATATTGCGCATTTTTTACCGCGCTGACTCCAATGTAGCCCCCTTAAATCTGTATTATATTTTTACAATTATTAGGAATTCTATTTTATATATTTATATATATATATATTCTTTTTTCTAAATTGTCACTAATATTATTTATTTAATTTAGTATCTGAATTATATGAAATTTAACTTGGCGGCAATTGTTGATGTCAAATTTTTTTGACGAATAATACATAAAATTTTGAGGAATTTAACTTTGCGCCAATTTTGTTGATATCAAATCTTTTATACGAATCATACAATATATTAAAGTTAAGTAAAAACAAGAGACGGTACCATTTATGTTCTACTTTTTAATTTGATGATAGAATGTAACTTGATCGGTTAAGATTTTAGCATCTGGGTTTTAATTTTTCATTTGATACATTAATTTTTTTTAAAGTAATAATTTTTGACAGAGAATTGAAGTGCCATTACTTAGGTTGGAATAAGAAGACCTTTAATAAGTATATCCTTGAAGAAAAATTAAAATTACTATATTAATTGGGTTGAATATTTAGGTTTTATTCGAGAAGCACGTATGCTTAGTGCTTTTTTTATCTTTTTTAGAAAAGTAAGTTTATATCAGTTATTAAGTTTATATAAGTTTAAGTCAAGCTACAAGAAAATTAGTCAATTTCTTACAACTTAAGTAGCCATGGTGAAAGAGATAACATAGTGTGTGCAGTGTCTGGAGTTGGACAGTGTCTCTTTTTAAATCTCTACCTTCTCCGACTATGGACTGTTCATAAGGAGGAAGACTATCAAGTGTGAAATGTTAATCATGAGGCAATATTCAGATAGTCGGTTTTTATTTTAAAATTGTCTTAAATAATGTCTTATGATGCTAATACAGTCCTCAGATTGATTTACGATATATTAAGGCTGTACTTAAGATGTTTTGACAAACTTTATGTTTCTCTTTCTATAGAAAAAGAACCTAAAATGCATTATAAAGTGCATCAAACAAGGAAAGATTCAGTATCAATTTCACGAATAGGCCAATACTTACAATCGATTATTACGAGTACATTTAAAACTATCTTAAGTCTTAAGATGTAAGTCAATCCGAGAACTGTATTAGTATCTTAAGACATTATTTTAAATATGTAGTTTTAAAAGAAGAACGGACTATGAATATATGTTTTACGTTTCACAGTTGGTAGCCCTTGCTCCCTATTAATGACGCGGAGCAAAAGGCGTGGTTTGGTCGAACTGCACATATATATGTAATCCTTTCACCATGGTAATAGTTTATTGCAGAAAGTCCATAAAGGTTATTACACATGAAACGACAGCTGCGTAAGCATAGCTTAAGGCCGTTGGATCATCCAGCATAAAGGTATCGTATTGATTTATATACAAAATGCTGGTTCAGCGGTCTTATGCAATGCTTATATATAGCTTATATGTCATTTTGTGTGATTGCTCTAATAAAGTATATATAAATAAAGTTATATAACTGTAGTATAACTCATTATATAACAATTACATAAGATTAGAATTATTTATATTATAGTCATATAATATTTTAGCATGTTATGTAACCATTCTGTACCTTTTCTGTAACTATGCAACTATTATATAACGTTTATTACATTGTAATTATACTTATTGTATATAACTGTAATTTGCAGTGAGTGGGAAATTACAACTAACATGTACGTTACATGTAATCAATACGTTATATTACCTGTTACATTCTGTTTTATTACAGCAATATAACAGTATATAACTGCGTTTGCTGAATATTTACATCATACAATAGAAGAATGTGTAAAACCATAACATGGTGAATTCTTCAATAAAATAATAAGATTGCTTGCTGATCTGCACCTAAAAAGTTATATCTTAATAGATCATCGTGAAAATTCTCTACCAACCGATTGTTCAACCGATTGCGAGCAATTTTCACACTTCAGCTATAGACATCGGATTTACATAAGATAATGGATTTTATATTTTTTATATGAACATTTCACTGCGTCTTTTATACCATTTAATGGCTTAATTGTGACTATTTAAAATACACCTGACATTTTTATTGCGTTTTGGCTCACTGCGAATTTATAGCATCTGATGATGAGGCACAATTACGATGCCGAAACATGCTATGTAATACAATGTAATGCAATGTATGTAAAGTATTCATACCAAATTTATATTTCATATCGATTTATTAGAATGTTAAAACTGTAAACGATTATTACATATATCTATGTTTGAATTTGACTATAATTTGTTCTTCTATTTTCTTAATAAATATAAATATTATATAAATATCACAGAATTATTTCAAAATAATATACTGATATTTCTCTGTGTGTGATATATCTAAGCAATATTCTTATAATTCATTTTCGTGAACATTGTAATATTACTATGACATTTCGATAATACTTCAGCGATATTTCTGCTAGATTTCATTGTAATATTGCAGTGCAAAATTATATTGCTGTAATATTACGTGCTATGCGAGTACTAGTGATGATTTAACGTTAGTAAAAAGCATTTTAGAATTGTTTTTTGAACAAAACAAATAAATTGGAAGAAATTAATTTAGAATTCAATCTGTAGGAATATAAAATTCTAATTTTAAAAATTAATTTTAAAGTTGCAAAGAATTTCTTCTTATTTTTAAAAATCAGAGAGCTTAAAGAAAAAATAAAAAAAATGAGTGTAGAAATGATGCAACTTTCTTTTCTTCAAGTAAAATTTAATTTTTACCAAATATACTTTGAAAATCAATTCCAAAATTTCTTCACAAATTACTTATTCTTAAAAAATTAGAAGAGAGCTTAAGGAAAGAAATAAGTAAAGAAATGATGAATGCAAAATTTAAACAAAAAAAATCTTATTTGAGATATCTTGTTGTAACTCATAAATACGAAGACAAAATAAGATCATCGACTCACTTGCAATTGTTTCACCTCTATATTGCGGATTTCCAATAGATCCCGCGTGATCGATATCACCTCCTTTAATGAGGCCACTTGATTGTTCAGCGCATTGATTTGGTTCTCCTGATTCGCTATTACGCGATTACGTTCCTCGTACATTAATGCCGGCTGTATCATTTGTTCACGCAACTGCTCTTCCGATTGTTGTAAGGTATCGTCATTGCCACGATTCATTATCGCACTGTAATACGCTTGCAAAGCGGCCAACTTTGTTTTCGCATCTTCGAACTTCTTCTGGTAACTGTCGCGCTCTTTTGTTCTTTTCTGTCGATCATAAGGATTTTAAATTCTCCATCAATGTTAATATAAGATATACATGAGAGATGGCAAGACTCTACTTGCAAAATCAACTTTTAATTTTTTACAGAAAATTATATACAAAAAAAAGACGATTCTGCTGAAATATATAAAACTTTACATACAAAATAATTTTTTGTTGTATTATTAAGTAATATACGCTTAAGTATCCATTATATTTATTTGATTGTTAAAATTTTAAAACTCTTTAGCAGTGTTATCATCATTGAGCATTTTACATAGTTATTTTGATCCAACACGTTATTATGTATTTTCAGATCTGTATTTAGCTAAATTTTCAGATACTTGAGCAAAGTTATTCTTTCTGTGCAAAGGATTTTTTTTAAATCAATAACATACACACATGAAATATAATAATTATAAATGAAAGATCATTGATATGCATGTATGTTTTAACAGTAAACATATGGAAAAAGATATGGCAAAGGAGCAAAATTAACTTTAAAAAAATTAATTTTTTACTGAAAACATAGAAATATAACTTTATTATCGAGTCGAAATGATTTGATTCTGATCAGAACAATCCGCATTTCCGCAGAATTTTCTTACCAACACTTCTGCCTCCAATCTGGATATGTATGCCGCAATGTTATCTCTTGCATTCTGCTTTGATGTATCGGCCTAGACACCACATAAGAATTGATAAATAATAATTGAAAATAACAAAATCAGTTATTTATCAGTTATTACGTTTCACCTTTTCTTCGTTGATAAATTTCGACTGTAACGCTTCTTTACTTTCAGCATAGCTTTGCGCTTTGACTTGTGTTACATTCACATCCTTCACAGGTACATGAGTAGGTACATGAGTAATTATATTAGTAGTCTCTTTAATATATATATCTGGATTGTCGACTTCTTTTTCTCCAAGTACATTTGTGTCAATTTTCGCTTCCATTAAACACTTGTTTTCAAACTGCGTATTTAATACTTCTTTTGCAACTTCCGCAGGTGCAAGAGAATCTTCCCGCATTACATTGGTATTTTTCACTGCGATAATTGTAACTGTATTGTCAGCACAATCGGTCCTTATCACTTCCACAGGAGGTGCATCTTTTTCGGTTGTAAGATCTGAATTTTCTGTTTTAGACATCTCTTATTTCCTCTTTCTCTATGAGAATGACGAAAATTGTAATTTTAATCAATAATGATCAACTAATGAAGAGAATAACAGAACACAACTAAGTCCATTGATCTTTTGAAAAAAAAACAGACACTTTTCTTTATTCACATTATGTTCTCTATTCAAGCGAATATAGAATATCACGTCTTAGATTCTTTTTAATATAAATATTCTTTCTAATATTTTTGCGTAATGAACTTTCAACATGTGTATATATATATATATATATATGTCACAAATCATTAGAGCTATAATGAAAATGTTAAAGATATTTCTAATAAATAATTTCTTTTATAATTTTTTAACAAAATTATTATATAATTATGAACAGTTTGCGATATACTAAGAATAATTTACCAGAAAAGATACGTGTATATATTTGATATTTTTCAATTGAAATAAACTAATTTCATCGAAACGCGGCTGTTAACCACTGGACATCCGACGACTAAGTAGAAACGTAAAGTATTTTTGGCTGTTCGACGTTCGTTCTATTTCAAGCTGCGTCTCAGTTACACTTTAATAATGGTGGTATATGAAATTACATAACAGAAAAAGTTTGTTTATGGAAACTGAATTAGTTCATTGTTCATTAGTTCATTGAAATGGAATTAGTTTACGTTTGTTTTAACAAACATTATATGTATATGTGTATATATATATGTATATATATATATATAAAGTCGTGATTTAATATTATGGATCATCCTGTATATTACATGTGCAATAAAATATACATTTAAACGAAAATTATTGCATTAGCAAATAAATCTCTTGTGCAGTTATGTAGTTATATATATAAAACACGTCAGTAATATATTACTTGTATTTTCTGCAGTTACATTTCAAAATATGATTTTCCAATATAAATCAAGCGTTAAAAAATTTATCTATAAAGAAAAATGATTTAATTTTAAAAAATTAAATCATTAAAAAAATAATTTTAAATTTAATTTATGTTAATACAATTTTTAACTGAATAAAATTGATTTTTTAAGCCATTAATTTTTTTTCATTTTAACTTAATTTAAAAACATATTAATCAGGTTTTTTTTATTAATTATTTTATATATTTACTAAAGTACTATGATTTACTTTAAAAATGAATAATTTTAAATGAATACATAAATTTTGTTTATTTTATGTGTTTACTATATATGACTAATAATTATGTATAAGAATTTGTTAATGGTAATAATTTATTTTTGTTTCAGTGTATATATTATTATAATACACTGGGCAACAAAATTAACGCAACACCTGTTCATTCTGCAAAAATAGGCAAATTTCAAGATACAATAACTTCGTCAAAAATTGTCGTATCGGGATGTTTAAAAAAGTATTTTATAGATAAAAACCTCTACTTTTCGGATCGCTACTTAAACGAACGGTCTCATGAGATTTCATGAAGTTACACAAACATAACGAAGATATATCAGACATCAAAATTTTTTATGAAATTTGCGAAACTCCACGGAGTGAAATGAAAATTGTATACAAATGCGATTTATATCATTCGAAAGAGCGAATCATTACCTTTAATTTACTTCTTTACGATGCTCCGTATGATTTTTTTTCATCGAGTTATTCAACGTTGAAGCAAAAATGGTTTTTTTGCTTCGATGAAAAAAAATCGTACGGAGCTTCGTAAAAAAGCAAATTAAAAATAAAGATTCGCTCTTTTGATTGATGTAAATCGCATTTGTATACAATTATTAGCCCACTCCATGGAACTCCGCAAATTTCGTAAAAAATTTTGAGATTTTATATTTTTATTTATGTTTGTGTAACTTTATCTCCATGAAATCTCCATGAGATCGTTTTTTAAGTAGCAATCTGAAAAGTAGATGTTTCAACATGTAAAATGTTTTTTTAAACATCCCGATATGACAATTTTTGATAAAGTTATTGTATCTTTAAATTTGCAGCTATTGAACAAAATTAGACTCACTTAAAATCAGCGTTAAAAAAAAACTAAATTCAAATTTATATATCTCCGCGCAGAATGGTCGCAAAATGATGTACGAAAAAACATTTTAAAGCCATAACTTCTTTAATTGTAAGTAAAGTTTAACATTTTCTATTTAAAATGATTTTTTATCATTATGCTACAATTTTTTTCACTAAGTGATTTAAAGTGAGTAGTGCACCATGTAGTCTTTCCTCTGAAAATTTCTAAAAATTTTGCCTTAATCTTTACCTTTAATTTGCTTTTTTACGAAGCTTCGTACGATTTTTTTTTAATCAAATTATTCAACGTTGAAGCAAAAGAATAATTTTTTTAATGAAACCGTTTTTTTAAGTAGCGATCCGAAAAGTAGAGTTTTACCTGTAAAATGCTTTTTTAAACATCCCGATACGACAATTTTTGATGAAGTTATTGTATTTTGAAATTTGCCTATTTTTGCAGAGTAAACAGGTGTTGCGTTAATTTTGTTGCCCAGTGTATGTCGTGTATAGGACGGTTCTAGAAGGAATGATAATGTTCTCGAAGGAGAAGGAAAGCTCTCGAAAAAGAAAGAAAGTTCTCGAAGGAGTATCTAGATGGAAGAGTGAATATAGCGTATGCGAGAGCGCGCCGTCTGGTCGCGGAATATGTATGTCATTGTACATAAGTATACGGCATGAAGTATAAATAAGAAAGTATGTGTATGTAAGTGTGAATGTGTTTCCACATACGAGTATAGTTCGCGGACTAAGCGCACGGTGTAAACGTAGCCATTGGGCCTCTATACGTACGTTTAGTCCGTGATTCGTGATAGAGCGCCTATAATCAGAAAGTCGCCAAATTGACTCAAACCGCTCGTGATTGGCTCAGGGCGCGTGATACTCAAAAAAATTGAATGACAATGATGCAAGCTACGGCTTTTATTTTCCTATCATTGTCACTCTAACCTTTTCGAGCGCCACGCGCTCTGAACCAATCAGCGAGCGATTCGGGTCAAGTATCAAGTTGGCGACTCTCTGATTATAGGCTCTCTATAGTCCGTGTCACTTACACGATAGATGTCTTTGTTTAACCTCTAGGTTAAACTAGGGCTATGATTGGTTTATATCTAACGGAATAAATCAGATCGCGGATGTTCGTGAAATCAGATTGCGGTTGTTGCATATTCTACATATGCGCATCTAGAAGATTCCGATCAGAATTAATTCAGATTTAATTATTTCCTACATTCTACGGAAAACGAAATAATTCCGATCGGAATTCATTCCAAACAATTCGACAGTTCCATAATACGTATCCTATTTCTGTTCTGTTCGCCGCCTTTATATTTATAAGATACACTTTTCGCAATTTTATCTACATGTACAATTTTTACGTATAATCTAATGTAATTTAGCTTTTTATTTTAGTGTAGAAATTCTCAATAAGTCTGTTTGCTTTATTCGAAATCCTTAAATATTTTTGCACTTAAAATGAGGTAAATATATATTTGGGAGTTGAAAAAAGAGAAAGCGAAGATGTTGAGTGAAAAAAGTGCAAGCAACGCGAACAGATCTCTAATGGCTCTAATATTTCTCAGTAGAGGTCTAGTTACATTTATAAATATAAGTTCTCAAAATATGATAATTTTGTTGACGAAAATTTTATGGCGCGAATTCATTAAAATTTGGCGATTTTAGCTATGTTCCAGAATTCACTGCCACTGCTGAAAATATATAGTATACGTAATATAAATTGTAGATTTTTAGTGCTGGTAATGAATTTTGGAACACAAAATCGCTAAATTTTAGTGAATTCGCGCCATAAAATTTTCGTCAACAAAATTATTATATTTTGAGAACTTATATTTATAAATATAACTAGGCCCCTACTGGGAAATATTAAAGCCATTAGAGGTCTGTTCGCGTTGCTTGCACTTTTTTCACTCAACATCTTCGCTTTCTCTTTTTTCAATTTGTTGTGCTTATTTTGGACAAATCACGCCTCTCTTGAGAGTGGAGGTACCGTTCAGAGTACCAGGCTTGCTAACTGTAAAGAAATGAATGATGTTGCTACAATCAGATGCCGCTATGTATCCTTTTCTCTCTTCGCGTTTCATTTCTACTGCATTCGGAGAGACGTTATTAGTGCTACTTCTGTCATTCTATCTTCGTTGTTTATTAGACATAATACAAGGATAACATATAAAAACTATCTAGCAAGCGCGCTATCAGCGCCATAATCGATGTCATAAATCCCTATAAAATTCTCACAGAAAATAACCATGTATGATGTAACCATGCTAGCGCCACATTTGCCTCTTGCGCTAAAAATTCTAAAAGGACAAATCACCCACTCTGTAGTCGGCGACGACGATGTTTCTTAATCTTAATATAAAAGTTTCAGATTCGGATTTTGCGTCGCAATATCTCGACTCGTAGGGCACGTAAAGAAAAAATAAAAATACTTTCATTATATATTTAGATCGGGTGCAATCGATTGAGCACACTTAGAACTTGATTATGCCTGATTCAGCCCTTATTGAGATCCAATAATTTCGATCCCTGGCAACTTACGCCGGCTCGCGTAAAGTAGCTACGGCAGTGTCGCTGCGCGTAGCTTAGCGCAAAGACACTACCAGTGTCTCCAGACAAAATGAAATACAACATAAAATAATGATAAATTTAATGTAAAAAATTTATAATATAAGAAATTTAATAATCTTAAGACTAGAGGCGTGCAAAATATCATAACTTCAGGCTCAGGCTCGGCTGAAAAACTAGAAGTCCGAACTCTGTCAGTTTGAACTTTTAAGTGGGGAGCAGACTTTTGCATAATGCATGATACATAAGGCATAAGAAATTCAACCAATTAAAGTTCATTATTTCGTAGAAAAAAAGGAAACGAAGAAATTTGAATGTATATTTTCTTATGCTTTACAGAACTTTTCAAACTCGAATTTCTGTTTTTTAATCTAAAGGTCGATATGGCTTAAAATGTTTTAAATCGAAACAGTCAGTATTACTGTGCGTATTACAGTACTTATTATATGAAAGCTCTAATTAGAGAACTTTTAATAAAGTGTTTTTTAAAATATTGTAAAAAAAATAATAATTGTAAATAAAAAGAATATATTCATTATATATACAATATAATAACAAAATAATATTTGTTAATTAGTGCAGCACAAAAAAGACAAAATTATAATTATTTAGTTAAAAATTTACTAGTACAAATTAGCAATAAAATAATACATATATTTAAAAAAAAGTCTTTCTGATATCATAAGCATCTCACTTCCAGACAGGCATTATTTTTGTATTTATTACATTTAAATGCGACGTTTAAAATAATCTATAATTTTTTCATTTTTTTTCACTTTTAAGATGTAATACATTTTTTAATATTTTTCCAGTTTATCTTTTTGTTGAAGGAATTATACAAATTTCTTACATTGTAAAAGTATCTTAGTTTCTTTTCTTTTCAATAATTTCTGCATGTTCGTATTTATCTAATAATA